CATAAATAATTTTAATTTACCACTACACATATCTATTACATTATATACAAAAATTTGTAGTACAAATAAATAAAATGTATCTAATGTCACCACAAATTAGAGTTAAAATGATTTAAAATGTTGATGATACAACTATTTAATATTAACAACTCTTAAATTAAAATATAACTTATGGAAAAACAATAAATTATGATTCAATAAAAATATACTTAATTTTAAATTAAATATAGTTATACTTAGCACATTATGTATATAGTCGTTTGGTCCTTACAAAATTCTCCTATTCTGCACAGAATGACATCGTCTAGCAAAACCTTGCACTTTTGGATAATAAATTAGAAGAAGAATTATAATTACTTATATTGTTCGAATACTGTTGAACACTCATATTTAAAAACGGTTGAATTTGGCTTTTGGCTACCTACAATGAGTATCGATTTCTACATACAGCACAAATTATAATTGAATATAATCTAATATTCAAGATTAGAGTTAACGATGCACGAAGACAAAAATATCAGTGTTGATATATCATTATAATAATATTAYCATGACTTATTAATTAGTAGTATAAGCRAAAAACGAAGAGTTCATCGCGAACATCGATGTAGAGTTTGCAGTGTGACATTTTAGGTATAGGTACCTATATAAATATAATACGATACACGTAGGTACTTATAATGCTCTTATATACTACTGTACATTGATTAATTAATCGAGTAAAGAGTAAAGAGTAGGTACATCACGTCATCACGAGAACGGAATACGTTGGCCACCCTTTTCAATTACAGAGAATGTCAAGAATACTGTATAGAAGATGGCAGTAATTTATTTTTTGTGAATGTACTAGCTTTTCGGTTCAGTCGATACGAACCAATTACGTAATAATGTAGTTATACACTTATACATGTTCTATAYATATATTTGCGTAATAACTTATAAAATATGTTTGAAAAAAAACTTGACATTTTTATGGAAAATAGATGCTAATTGCTATACTATATAATATTGTGCGATACTTCTAAAATCAAACGGATATTGCAGACTTGCGAGTGGCAACCACCTTTTTGAATTTTTGACGAAAAACAAATGCCATTGCAACAATAGACGCAAGTCATTATTAAACTATTACAAAACGATATCATACACCGTATTCGYCGAGGTTGGGTAAATGGTGACGTACAGCTGTATTCAAATTTGAACAGATAAAAAGTTGTAAAAGGACTCATGTGCACAAAATGTCATCTACGTCTCAGAAAACTATTAATGATTTATCTACAGTAGTTTTACAATATTTAATAACTGCCCACCTATAATAGTAGGTAGTAGTTTGTTTTTAAGAAGAATCTATTATAACGATCCTTCTCCTTGAAAAATTAATAATTATCATAGCTATAGTAAATACAACGCTGTACATACTACAGTAGGTAGTCGTAGTACTGCAGTATAATACATAAACATAATATGCATTAAAATAAAGTCGTCGCAGTAAAATAGTCGAATCAGAGAACCAACGGTGTGAAACGCAATACGCATAACAAATTACAATATAATAATWATWATTATTATTTAAACTGCGCGCGCGTCAAACTCACCCGCAATCGGACGGCAGGTCTTCAATGTGCGGCTGTACTGTCGGGCGAGAGTACGGATTAGTCATATTATCGTCGTCGACTATAACTATGATCACTGTCCCGATTGATAATAATATATTAAAATATTATGATATACTAAATAAACTGCAGCCGAGTTATGTTGCAATGTTTTAATATTCTTCTTCCACGACTGGGTGCACTCTCGCGCGTATGTCGTTTCAGTGTACACCACCGTGGTGTAATAACGAACCAAGTTTTGGTATTACAACGACATTAATATTATTATGAAGAACCGACGTCGCGTTGCCCGAATACGACACTGTTACGGTGGTATCCTGTGATGTCGTCGTCGCCGCCGCYGTCGTCATCGTCTCCACCGCGGCAAAACGAAAAATCGAACACACGACACACTTTTGACGGTATGCGGTTGCAGTGGGTAGGTACCGATTTAAATATTTTAGAACTTAATAAGAAATTATATTTTAAATCGTCTGGACGAGAACGGCGTGCGCGATGCCCACTGACAGTGTTCGGGCCGAGTGCGCCGCGGCAAGTCGGTAGGCACTAGGCGCGCTATGAGGTCACGACTCACGAGCCACCGCCGCCGACTGTATAATAYAAATAAAATAATAATATATCGGTGGTGGGGTTACACACGCTCGTCTCGGTCGTACCTGGTCAGGTGAAAGTGTTGTCGYCATGACGACGACTACAACCGCGGCAAATGTTTGTGGTCGCACACGACTGTATATATACGTCGGTGTTTTAGTTGCTGGAAACAATTTTTACGTGCGTATATCGCACGCGACTGCGGTCGTTCGATATAAATTATTGTAATATTATAATACCTATACCTATTATATTTGTTATACATCGTAGGTTCGTTCACAGGCCGTGCAGCCATTATTAAGATACAATTGATGATACGACTATATATTGTGTATATGCCGACGTGGACACGCGCTGTCTTAGGTGTTAATGATATTAATATATTATGCATACTAATAATTATCATAACATATTATATTTTATTCCAGGATCGCGGCAGGATGTCACATTCCTCGTTGCCGAAGATATTATATTTTTTGCAGTTATATATAGTTGTAGTACTTATTATACGTATAATAAATTATAATAATTACATGAATTTACTGCGTCGACATATAGGTACTATTGATTTACAAACAGTCTTTGGACCCTTCTGGTATTTTTTATACCACTTTTGATTTATAAATAATAGCTAATGACTGATGTCCGATGTGACACGTCAAAAATTACGATATAGATGCTGACTTCGGTGAATTGTCACTAATCACTATCATCCGAGAACTGAACACACGACATTTAACTCTTCCTAGTCCTCACTCCGATAACCAGTAATCATTTAAAAATCCATCCTGAACTTCCTCGGCGGACAGTGGACGCTATAGAATTTGAATCTACAACAAACAGAGTGGCTTCAAAGTTCAAACGCATGAAAAATATTCTGAAGTCAAATGATATAGGTATTATAATGGTACTATTCAAAAGAGTGGGTAAGGATTTAATTATAACGAACACATATATTTTATAACAAGTGTTGGAAAAAATAAGTGTTAAGTATTTATGTCAGATACGTTACGGGTAGTTTTGAAAATCTTTATTTCGAGGAAATTAAGACTACCTCCTCCCCACGATCATATCAGCATATGATAACGTCTGTAATTGTACGTCATGAAACGATCGCAGATCGCATAAATTCATAAGAGCAGTACGTTACATACCGTAAAGATCATACCATATTATGGTAGCAAATATACTACCTACTTACCTACTTTATAATATTTTATCGAATGTACAACGCATCCTAGCTTATCTGCTTGCCATCGAACTCGACAAAACGATATTGTGATATATTATCGACGTTCGTATTATATCATTACACTTGTAATACGCGGTTTGGCGGTTTGCACACGCAACCCGTCAATACTACACACGAGTACCTATACGACATATGTGTATTAGTCCTAAGTCACGGGGATAAGTATATGGTCCTCACGACAACAATATTGAATGTAATTTCATGTWAGTACACTATTTACAGCATAATTAACACGCACTGGCGTACCGGAGCATCGTCATTCATCACGAAACCGGATATTCTGTGTCGTTACACGTTTGTAAGACGTTTCATCCGGAAGTTGGAACGGGTACTGGATTCGATGACCATCATCGTGTATACTTATATCACAAAAGCTTTAATACTCACATTATCGCTATTAAGGTGATTTGAACATATGATTTTCTGTCTTTGTTTAACATACATTTTTATACGTGTTTTTTGCCAAACTTATACCAATAAATCTAATGAAATTATGAAAATTCTAAAAACAGATTTGAATTTGCCGCAAAGACCAAGTACTTTCCGACATTTTTGATATTGTCCTCTAAATTCCTAAAAACGTTTTATTAAAAGGAGTAATTAAAAAAWTGTCGTATTAAAATTTTTAGAGAAGTAAAATACAAATATCAAAAATGTGGGAAAGTTGATCTCAAGAAGACTTGACAATAAACTCAAATATGTTTTCAGAAATCTTATCTCTTCACTATATTAATATATTTACTAATTTCAAAACAACATGTTAAATTAAAGATTAACGTTTTAACTACTTCGGAGTTTCGATGGAAAACGGAGGATTRTCACACAAGAACATAAGGTACAAATGTATATTACGGCACAAATATCGAATTTTATGGAAACACGGCGTATGAGACGCGTAGTAAAACGCCATGCATATTACAGCTTAAAATGATATATTATACAGTTCTCATATTATGTCAATGTTAATATACCAAGTTTTACTGAAATTTTTAATTTAAGATTTAAACCCGTTTTYATTTAATATGACAAATAAAATGCATGCATTGACACAGATTATATTATCTAAATGTAATAAGTAATTACCGGCTACCACTCAACCAGCTAGTAAATRTAATTTTTTCACATGGTTGTTCGTTGTTCCTATCTCCCAATAGTTGCCACGTCGCACTTTTCTCCAATTATTTGTAGCCGAAATATGGACACCAATTTGCATCGACARYAGACAKGTTTTATATTTAAATGGTTCAAGTTGTGACCTGCARTAAACAGCAACGGAAGATATTATAATATTATATAAAACAATATACGTTCTTGAAATTATAATTATAGTTAACTTAAATAGTAAATAGAAAAAAAAAACCAAAAATAAATGTATGACTTGGCCGAAGCCAGCAGGTTACTTAACTAATATATATATAAGGTTTATATTATATTTTAAGGGGATTCGATAACGTCAATTTGTTTGACCGCGCGTGACATAGCTGGATTTTAGACGTGTCCTTTACCAAAAATACCGATGTGGGCTACACCAGTGACGCAAAACACTAGAACTCTACGCAGTGCCGCATTTAGACATTTTGCGCCCCGGTGCAAAAAAAAAAAACGGCGCCCTTTTAAGGGAATATAAGAGATATATAATACCCATAGGGAATATTAGAGATAGATCCTCATGAACTTTTAAAATTTTAAGCAAAGGAAAGAATAATATTTGTTTTACTCTGTGTTTTTTTTATAATATTGTTTAATAACTGCATGATCTCCGCATAGATATTGTAGAGTCTCTACGTTTATAATGTTTATGGTGTTATATCATAATTGTATATGTTTTTATATACCTATCTAAGTCAGTGGGTTATTCCAACGGATACGTCCCGTTAGCTGATGCAGTAAAATATGCAGAATTGTAACTGTGCTTTTAAATTAGACACCGCATATTGTGTAATTACTTAATTATATAATAATGATTTAATTGCCTAGGGCAGAGGTATTCGAACTGTGCGTTGCGGCTCCCAGGGGCGTCGCGAGAGTTTGCAAAGGAAATCGCGTCAAAGCACCGAAAACCAACATCATACCAAGGTCTTGTATAATTATTATAAATATTATTTGCAATCATTATGGAAATGAAAACAACACATCTTACGATTTGACCATTTGAAGTTTTATTTCTAGTACTAAAGGCATTGTTATTATTAYCCATTATAATAACATATTTCCCATATTGTATCCGTGTGTTGTTTCAATTTGTTCATAATAATTTGGGAGCCGTAAAAATATTGTGAACACCCAAAGGAGCAGCGTGCTGAAAAAGTTTGAATACCTCTTGCCTAGGGTATTAAATGTTCAAATGTAACAAAATGTTTTGCCACTTTGCCAGGCATAAAATAATTGTTTGATTGAAAGACTTATTTTTCGTTGCTTAACGATTCCACGTGAAGATTGCGAATATAAGAATTCTTCTTATTTGTCTTTTSGTTGTTCTACTTACACAATAAAAATAATCAACTATTAATAATTGAAGACGTTTTTCTTGATTAAAATTAATATGTTTCAAACACWTTCGTAACGTCTGTATAATTGGAACAAAATATGCGAGTGTTGGTAAAATTCTTACTTGTAATATGAGTAAATTCCGCGGTGCAGCCASCTGTCAACACCAGGACAGTCGAATTACACTTTTTACTTTACTGGTAGAACTGCACTCGGGTTTAAAAAAGTGTGATGAACAAAAATGTTCAAAAAATAAAGTTAATTTTTAAAATTTTTAAAACACTAAATTCCCTTTCTGTTTAAAATGCATCATTAGCATACAAATTATTATTTTTATACTTTTTAATTTTATAAATGATTTATTATATATTTTTTGTAAATAAATTATTTCAAGAAAAGCATTACATATTTTTTTATCAAATTTATAATACAATATTATGTATATTAATATATTATATTAACAAAATTATACATATACATAATAACTAGTTTTTAACCACTCCGATAATTAAAATTATTGTTAGTCCTGTACGCCTGTAGGCGAGAAAGAAAATTAATTGAAGCTATTTTAACCCGAGTGCAGTTCGATCAACACCTATTTTTTACTCGAGTGCAGTTTGACTATTACCTTTTTTTTCATCCAAGAGCAATTCGACCTTACCCGTTAACAAAAATCCCAATTTAGCTTCATCCACGCTTCATGTCTATGGCCCCGTGGGCAGACCCCCCCCCCCACATCATATTTTTGGCCCTGATATATAAGAACGGTCCCTCTTAAATAACAATTAATTTTTAAACATATTTCTAATATACATAGAAATAATTATTTGCATGAACATGGGTCTTTCTGACTTTCTGACACTCTTTTGTGAGGGCCTTGTCTGTGAGACCTTACAGCGTCTGGCGGTGAAGGATGGCGTCCAATACGTTGACTCRTCATCCATCTGTTGGGAAAGCCATGATTGAAACGACATGACAAATTTCGTATCAATATTGTTAGATACGCTTGTGCTATTCTACTCCATTCATATAAACTAATAAATATTAATTGATTACCTAGGTACAATAGGTACATATCCATTAAAAATTGGATTTATGTACATAGAAACACACCAAAAAATAATAATCTGTTTCTGAACAAATATGATTAATTTTCAATTTTCAATACTTCACACACTGCAGTAATAAACTTATAAAACTTTATTTTTACCATAATTAT